TACTACATGCCAAATGTATTATATTATGCTTATGGTTTTGTAACGAATCAGTTGTTAATGACCTACATGAATAAGTGTATTGTTTTGAGCAAATATACCATGAAAAAATGTTATTTCAATAAAATATACTTTAAATACCAGCATCTGCATTGATGTCCTTGTAAGAGTTACAGTTATATTAAAGTTAAGTTGTAAAGTTCCTTGTGTGAAGTACATTTTTACAATCACCAAGATATTTACGGCACGACCTACATTCCCTGCACAAAGTAATCCATTGGCACCAAGCACATGCCCTGGGCATTTTATTATACATCAAAGTACCACGAGTGCCTTCTCACTAGGCCTCGCTGATCCATATATACTCATTTATATGTGCACACACACATATACTCATATATATATACATATATATACTCATATACTCATATATGTGTATATACATATACATACATACATATATATATATATATATATATATATATATATATATATATATATATATATATATATATATATATGTGTGTGTGTGTGTGTGTGTGTGTGTGTGTCTGTCCACACACACACACACACACACACACACACACACACACACACACACACACACACACACACACACACACACACACACACACACACACACACACACACACACACAGACACACACACACACACACACACACACACACACACACACACACACACACACACGAGTGATTGGCATCGATACACAAAATTATCTAAGGCGATACCAATACCTCAATACTTGAAAATAACTCAATCGATTCCGATACATCGAGTCTCCGCTGACAGTTGAAACGATGCCGATACCGATACATGTACCGCCGGAGCATCATCACTGATTCTTTATTATAAGAAAATGCCCAACTGATATGAAAATATTGAATTTGGAGGTTTGATGTGCTGCAAGCAATGACTACGGCAGAAAAGTGTTTTTCAAACTTTGATAGAAAGAGAGAGAGAGAGAGAGAGGGAGAGAGAGAGAGAGAGAGAGAGAGAGAGAGAGAGAGAGAGAGAGAGAGAGAGAGAGAGAGAGAGAGAGAGAGAGAGAGAGGAGGGAGGGAAGGGAGGGGGGAGAGAGAGAGAGAAAGGGAAAGAAAGAGAGACTATTTAACAGTACAGATGAAAGATTTTTAGGAAAACATTTACGATTTGTGATAGATAATCTATGCTGGATAGATATTTTTCCTAAATATTCAGATAAGATCCTAAGTAAATCATTTGGGGGCAGAATAAAAGAAGCATAGTTCCTAATGTGCCAAGTTACGATATCTAGACTTTCTGTACAGCACCTTAATCCCGCAATCTGTTGGTGGCAAATAGGCCTACATTACAGATGTGAAATCATTCCTAAAAATACCAAAATATACTTACCACAAAGTGAGTCCTCAAGTAACTAAGGAAAGATCTTGTTATTGGTGCATCCAACAAACTATCTATGACATTTGTATATATTCAAATTAGATATAAATGATCTAGCCTATTTTGCATAATGGAAAGAAAACTCAAGTGTGGATTTCTGCCCAAAAATTAGTTGCTAAATATGGTAGCATTCCCAAAGTTATTTTTTTTGCTTGTTTTGCCTACTATTTATTCTAAAAAGACTAATCCAGTTGCCTTCCCGAGCAAAATGTTTCTGCCCTAGAAATGATAAATATCACATTTTGAATTGTACCCTAGCTTATTTTCTGCAACACATGAAATGCCTAAAGAACAAATAAAAATCACAAATAGAAAATTAAATACAGAGGAGATGGCTCATTTTGCAATATGATAAATTAACATATGAATGTATGAGGAAAACACTCTTGTGATACCAATAAAACAATACTGTTATTGAGCAGCTATGGCGATAATGATACCAATACAAAAGTATTGATTTATATGTATCTCCAATACATGTATTGCATTACTACCCACCTCTGCACACATGTATTTAAAGAACAGGACATGCAGGTTTCTTCACTTTTTACAAGTAATCAGAGAGCATAAAGATCTTCATCATGAATAATTATAATAATAATAATAATAACAATTATCATGTAATGCCAATGATTTTTACAATTATTAATTAGTATATATATTCAAGGAAAGTAAGTAAGGGTTATTACCATAATGAAACATTTATTCAAAGTTCTTGTTATAATGTACATCTCCATAGTATGGATGGAATATTGAAACTTATGGGCATTGTAATTAACTAGATATAAAGGTCATAGTACATGTATCATAGATACAGTATCTATATCCATTAGGAGTCTAATAATAACATACAAGGACTGATCAAAAAGTGAAACCAATGCTTGTTAAACTTGAGTACTCCCCTCAAGAGTAAATTGGCTGGCTTTTTACATGCATTACCCAGTTTCAATCATATTGCTTAAGTCTCTTATTATGACTATCATGAACTGCCTTATCATATTTTCCTCAATCAACAAATACACTTCAGAGGGTTATACCACTGAGATGGAATATCAACTAT